CACCAGCAAATTCTTGTGTCCAGAAGCAGCTGTTGTTTCTCCCTTTTTTTTTTTTTTTTGATGCTGAAAGTAGCTCTTGACAGCACCCAAGGCAAGGGTAGCAGAGCTCTTACATGTCCACTTGTCCATGCTGAGAATCTCAGAGGAAACCCCTGTAGGGATCTCTGCAGGCATGGTTGAAAACAAGCCTGAATGAGTGACACCTACAAGAATCTGCACCTTTTTCTCCTAAAAGCAACCCCAAAAAAATCTGTTGGAGCATATTGCACTGGGAATGTGATTGAGACTGGTGTGTCCTTCCCTGGTGAGTGATTTTTTTAGGGTCTAAACTAGCCAGGGTAGGAAAGCTTTGGCTTTGTAGCCCAGAGGATGGCAGGGAATTTAGAAACCAACTTGAGTGGCTCCAGGTTTTGTGGAATAGCAAATGCCTGAATTTTGGGGTGAGTGATGTGTCTTGGGGCAAAAAAAAAACCCCCACCAACTTAGTCCTGACTTTGAGGGGTGGAAAGAAAACAGAGAATTGATTATTTAGTAGAAAAGAGAAAACTTTCTGTGATACCAAGTGATTTTGGGGGTCCACCAGTGGTTCTGGCAGCTCTGGGAAGAGCAGAACTGAGGCTGGTGAATGTTCTTGAGATGGTTTCCTCTAGGGGACGTTGAGTGTGAGCAAAATGGTGACACTTGGACCTATAAACACTTAAAAACACCAAACAACACAGTGCACAACGAGGAGGTTGATCCTTCACTGGCAACTCTTGGTCCAAATCTCAAATCTTCATTGCTCGCCGTGAAATTCAGATTATTTTCTTGGATTTTGGGCTTTTTATGCTTCAGATATTCAGTTGGATTTTGGGGGGTTAGGAAGAAATAGTGGTGGAAAATGGAGAAAAAGGAATGGAAGTTGTCCATTTTCCATGAGTCTTTTTAATTATTAAAAAAGAAGAAATAGGGGTGGAAGGAGAAGGAAAAGGGCTGGAAGTTGCTGATTTTCCAGGAGTGGTTTTTTTGTTTTGTTTTGTTTTTTATTATTAAAAGGAAGAAATAGGATTGGGAAGAGAAGAAAAAGGGCTGGAAGTTGTCAGTTTTCCAGGAGTTTTTTTAATTATTACAAGGAAGAAATAGTGATGGTAAGAGAGGAAAAAGGGCTGGAAGCTGTTGATTTTTCAGCAGTCTTTTTAATCATTAGAGGGAAGAAATAGGGGTGGGAAGAGAAGGAAAAGGGCTGAAAGTTGTCAGTTTTCTAGGAGTTTTTCTTAATTATTAAAAGGAAAAAACAGTGGTGGGAAGAGAAGGAAAAAGGGCTGGAAGTTGTCAGTTTTCCAGGAGTTTTTTTAATTATTAAAAGGAAGAAAAAGGGCTGGGAGAGCAGCAACGCTGCAGGAAAACCGGTGCCACAGAAAGTGAGAACAGAATCAATCGAGTCACTGTGCAGATGTGCCACAGATAAATCTCCCAGCAGGAGGAAGTGCCAGGACAGGAATGCAATATTTCAGCAGGGCCTGTCGTTCCAGGTGGGGATGGCAGAGGCTTTTCCTTGCAGGAAAACAGCTCACCTTGGCCAGTGGCACTTGGAAAGGAAACTCCTGGGCGCCCCAAAAATGAGGGAGCACCCCCAGGTCCTTGTGGGGGCCCTTAAATCTGTGTCACCCTCCCCTCAAATTCCCATCAGGAAAGTCCCCACTTGAGCAAGGGAAAATCCAGGGACACTGCTGGAGGTGTGAGCTGATGAGGCAAGGAAAAAACTCTTGACTTCTGGAGATGAGCTGCAAGCAGGGCCAGCCTCAGATGGCCTGTCTGGAAGGAAGAATCCCACGGATAAAATCCCGCAGATAAAACTCGGCTCCACGGCTATCAGGGCGAGCTGTGCCGTGTTTGGGATCTCTCCCAAGTCCTGGATACTCAACCCCAGGCAAACAAAGCACTTAGCAACGTTTGGGATGAAGTTCCCCCACCCCAGGGAGCCAAATGCCACCAGGTAGAGTGTGTGTGTGCCAACTGGATGGGGTCTTGTAATTCCAGCAGGTGACAAGGAACCTTCTGGATCCCTGGTTTAAAAGTGGGGATAGGTGGAACTGGAGGGGGAATAGGGTGTTGCAAAGCTGGGACAGGTCCTTGCTGAGGTGTGGATGGTGCAAGTGTGAGGAGAAAGTCAGGAAAGATTAGACCAAAGCTTGGGTTATGCTGAGTGTCCTGGCTTTGCAGGTTCATGTTGCTCTCAGAGAGGCCGGGGTTAAATTGCAGACAGGTGAAGCTTCCTGGGTTGTGTGCAGTGAGCTGTTTGGTCCCTCTCCAGGTGCCACCATCTTGGAGAATCTTAAAATCCAGTTTAGAATGGTTTGGGTGGAAGGGACCTTAAAGATCACCCAGTTCCAACCCCCTCCTTCCTGCCTGCCACGGGCACTAGAAGGTGTGCACCTCACACTCAGCCCCCTCTTGATGCAATCCCAAAGGCCTGGCTGGCAGTTAAATCGTAACAGTTGTGGATTGGGGGTGTAAAAAAAAACAAAAAACAAAAAGCATGCCCTCCCTGAGAAATTTCCTTGGAAAGAACAGCTTGGCCTTTGTGAGGAGCTGAGAAAGCGTCCGACTGACACCGTTGCCTCACAGGACCTCACTCAGCCCGGGGTTGCATAAAAGGGCTTTATGGGATTAGGAGGGTTCTGTGCAGCGTGTCAGGTGGAGCTCCCTGGCTCTGCCTGCACTCTTGTTATTGATGCCATGCTCTGGGAAGTGCCACCTCACCCCTTTTTTTCCGGGCTTCTGGAATGTGTGTGCCGAGCTGAGGCTGCTGGACACCCACCCAGTGCTGGGGAGGGAGAACGTGTGTGATTCCGTGGGTGTGTGGCTTCTACTCAGGGGATTCTTCACCTGGAAGACTTTCATTGCTTGTTGGCTTTGAAAACCTTTTTTTCCCCCCTAAATTTACTCCATCTCTTATTGTAGGGATGCTCTTGAGCACTAATCCAGGCAGTCGTGGATCCATCTCTGCTCATTCCATACGTTGAGTGGCTTGTTCTTGCAGCAGCCCTGGCAGTGTTGTGCCTCTGTGCAGCACCAGAAATCCCCTTTTTCACCTTCTCCCTGTCCCTGGATCTTTACTGTGATCATACTTAGGTGACTTTTATCAGAGATCCCCCAGACCAGCTAGCTGAACAGCACCTGCTCAGATGGAAAGGTGAAATGGGAAGGGGGAGCTGTCAAAAATGCTCTGCCTCCCTCTCTCTCCTTTGCCAGCTGAGGGTCTCTTATGCCAACCGGTTTTCCATGTTTCCAGTGAATTTTTATCACTACAGGTTTTTTTCTGATCTTAATACTCTTGGAGGTAACTGAAGGAGAACATCTCCCTGCCCATCTTTTTTCTCCTAAAAATCCCAACTCAGCTATTTCCCCCCTCACTCCCCCCTCAGATATCTGATGTTAAATCACCTCGTCAGTGCATCAGGAATGATTAGATCTGTCCTGGATGCTGCTGGCTGGGACTCAGGGCAGGATTTTATGCCCTTTGTGCACCAAGGTTTGGGATTTAGAGCATCCAAGCTGCCTGCCCTTGGGAGCTGTGCTCCTGGCAGGATGCATCCCACTAATTAGAATTAAAACCAAGAAATCTCTGCTTCTATGGGACAGGTGGGAATTTAAAAACTTTCCAGGATCCATCAGCATCCAGCAAAGGGGGTGAGTGTGAGCTCCCCTCCAGGTTTTCCCTGGTGGTCCTGCAGCAACGGAGATGTCCCAGCCTGTGACCCATCCCCATGCTCCCCTCTTCAGGATTGCCATGTCCCAGCGACCCTGGAATTCCAGATTTAAGCCATCCTTCCTTTTTTTGGCTGGGGAATGTGTGTCCAGGTGCTCCAAAACGCTGCCTGGTGATCCCCATTGACTGCCTGGACTGGCACCCGGCCTTGGCCAGGGCAGGGCCAGGAGAGTGGGGTACAGCCAGCCTGGCCAACAAACCATTCCTGAGCCCAGCAGATGTTCCTGCAGCCTCTCTGCTCCCTGGGGCCGATGCCAGGCTGGTCCTTTTCCAGCAGCTCCGTCACTTGACACCGGGAACAGTTCTCTGGGCTTTTGTGGCACAGTGTACAGAGAGTCAAGGACCTTGTGCTGGGAGGAGGGAGGGGAGAAGGCAATGGGACATGAACTTTGTACTTCTTCAGGGCATTTTTTTTTAGGGGGGGGGGGATTTTGAGCTTGTTCTGTCTTGTAAAAGCTCTTGGCAGTGTCTCCTGGAAAGTGTATCCTGCTCTCAGACCTCAGGCTGTGGCTCACTGGGTTTTATGTCAGGATCTCCTCTGCTGAGGGCAGGGAGGCTTTATGTGCTTTCTCAGTGTCTTTTGGGGATTTGGTGGGACACACCATCCTCTACCCCTTCCCAAGCTGGTTTCTGGCTCTGCTTGATGTGCCAAAATGATTTTTTTTCCTTATGCACAGGACAGTGACAGTAGAGCTCGTGTCTCTTTGCTGTTTTCCCAAGTTCCTGCAGTTGGGAACCTTCAATTATTTCTTTCCAGTTTCGGTTTTGAACACAGTCCTACAGTGAAGGTGGCCAAGGGTTTATGTCCAAACATAATGTCCATTATGTCTGTGAGAGCTGGTAGGGAACATAAATCTACTTTTTACCCTTCTCCTGCTCCCACCCTGCTTTAAAATCCCTCTGTGCCCAGGCATCAAGTCCACGTGGTGGGTGCTCAACCACTGATGCCACATTAACCCCATGGGCTGTGTTTCATAGAATCACAGGATGATTTGGGTTGGAAGGACCTTCTGAAGACCATTGAGATCCAACCCACATGAGTGGGGACACCTTCCACTAGCCCAGGTTGCTCCAAGCCCTGTCCAACCTGGCCTCAGACACTTCCAGGCATGGGGCATCCACAGCCTCTCTGGTCAACCTGTTCCACTGCTCTGAAAGAAGAATTCCTCCCTAAAATTTCCTCTGAGTAAAGAACCTCTCCCTAAAATCCCTTCCCTCACCGCTGCGCCCGCTCTCTGTTTCTTCGCAGGCTGACGGGGAACGAACCCCTGACCATCCTCCCTCTGACCTCAGAAATGGAGGAGGCCGCAGTCAAAGCCCACTACAAGGTGTGTGACCGGCTGAAGCTGGAGAAGAAGCAGCGCAGGATGTGCCGGCGGGACCCGGGCGTGGCCGAGACCCTGATGGAGGCCATCAGCATGAGCGCCCTCGAGTGCCAGTACCAGTTCCGCTTCGAGCGCTGGAACTGCACCCTGGAGGGCCGCTACCGCGCCAGTCTGCTCAAGAGAGGTCAGTAGGGTGGGGGTTAAAGGTTTTTTGGGGTGGTGGCACCCCCTGCACCCATCTCCTCCCCCGGCATCCTGCTGTGTCCCGTGCCACCGGTGCATCCCCACCTCGCTGGAGAGCCAGAAAGAGCTGGCAGGAGGCTCCAGCTCAGCCGTCAAAGTGCCCAGCGGACAAAGGATGTGCTTAATGGGGGTAATTGATGTGCTGATGGCGGTAGTTTATGTCCTTCTGAACCCTTCTGCTTCCCGCTGGAAGTTGAGCTCTTGCTGGAGACGAAGGTTTTGAAACTCCCAAAGCTGTCGCCTCTTTTTTTTTCCCCCTAATTTTTCCCAGATTTTTTCTCCATTTTCCCTTGTTTTCCCTGATTTTCTCCCGATTTTTCCTTCCTATTTATTTTTCCTCTTTGTTTCCCTTCTTTTCCTCCCTTCTTTTCCCCCCCTTCTTTCCCCCTTCTTTTCCCCCTTCTTTTCCCCCCTTCTTTTCCCCCTTCTTTTGCCCCCTTCTTCTTTTGCCCCCTCTTCTTTTGCCCCCTTCTTCTTTTGCCCCCTTCTTCTTTTGCCCCCTTCTTCTTTTGCCCCCTTCTTCTTTTGCCCCCTTCTTCTTTTGCCCCCTTCTTCTTTTGCCCCCTTCTTCTTTTGCCCCCTTCTTCTTTTTGTCTTTTTATTCCCTTTTATTCTGCCTCTTCTTTTTATTTCCCCCTTTTGATTTCTTCCCCCTTTTGATTTCTTCCCCCTTTTGATTTCTTCCCCCCTTTTGATTTCTTCCCCCTTTTGATTTCTTCCCCCTTTTGATTTCTTCCCCCCTTTTGATTTCTTCCCCCCTTTTGATTTCTTCCCCCCTTTTGATTTCTTCCCCCCTTTTGATTTCTTCCCCCTTTTGATTTCTTCCCTCCCTTTTGATTTCTTCCCCCCTTTTGATTTCTTCCCCCCTTTTGATTTCTTCCCCCCTTTTGATTTCTTCCCCCTTTTGATTTCTTCCCCCCTTTTGATTTCTTCCCCCCTTTGATTTCTTCCCCCTTTTGATTTCTTCCCCCCTTTTGATTTCTTCCCCCCCTTTTATTTCTTCTCCCTCTTTTGATTTCTTCTCCCCCTCTCCCTTTTAATTTTTCCCTATTTATTATGCAAACATGGCAAATATGGAAACAAGGCAAACCAGCCTGTTCTGTGCTGTCCTGCTGGAGAGGGCAAAGGGAGCCCCATCACAGCACAGGGCAAAGCCTTCAAATGTTCGTGTCCTGTTACTGCCCTACCCAGGGAAAAGCTCCAGGTTGTGTGTGGAGGGTAATTCCCACACCTCTTCCCAGCAGTTCAGATGGAGGTGACCATCTGAATATTGGAGGATAGGGTGGTACTTTTATCTCCTTCCTTTGTGCTGTCTCACACAGTCCAGTTTCCCCCACTCTCCTGGTAAATCCAGTTATTTCCAGCTCACAGCTGAAATGCAGCAGGACTGTTTTACAGACAACGTGGATTGGTTTGGAGGGTTTTAGTGACTTCCAGAGAGGAGGGACCTGCACCTGGAAACCCAGGCGCTGATGATGTCTTTAAAGACAAGAGCAGAGGTTTGCAGTGCTCCCTCCCTCGCTAATTAGTGAGGAGGAGTAATTCAGAAGCGCCAGGGCTTAACTAATGCACTGTCACTGAGTGGTGGAAACAAGGAAAGTCCTTATGAAACCCAAGAGGTCCAAGAGCCAGAGCTGCAAGACGTTTAAAAATATCCCCGCATGCCAGAGGAGTCCCTGGATTAGTGGCGCCTTGGGAGAGCCAAGCACTTTCTCATGCTGACACCTGGAGGCCACAGCTTGTTCCTTCAGACGGGACCGTCCCCTGGACGAGGAGCAGCCCGAAGTTGAGCTGCCCCCAAAACACCATGGGGACCTCCCCGCTCGTCCCCCGCCTTGTCAGGGAGCTGGGTGATGAATGGCAGCCCTGAGGGCTGCAGGGCTCTGCCTGCTGCCTCCCTGGGGCGTGTTTTATATCCCTGCACCATCCCTGCCCTCCACCGGCGCTGTAAATCCTTCAGGTGCTGCTCCGTGGAGGAGCACCCTGCCCTGTAAATCTTTCCCCCCCTCCTCTCCGGGAGCTGCCGGTTCCTGGTTCAGCGTTGCAGCAAGGGACACCCCCGGGGCAAAGAGGCACATGGATCACCCTCTCAGACACAGCTATTCGGTGTGGGGGCTTCTTTCCTCTCCTCCAGGAGCTGCTTCTTAAGGAGAAATTAAAAAGGGGGCAAAAAACCCCCCAAAACAAACCAAAACAACACCAAAGCCCAACAACACTTTTTCCACTTAAAAACTTGGATCACCAGCAGAGCCCTGGCTGCTGGTTTAGCAGCTTGGGCTGATGCAGCCCGTTTCTTAAAATAACAGGGGATTGTTTGAGGGACTCGTTATCCTCTTCGGATCCTCGCAAACAATTTTTGGAAATGGCTGAAACTGGATAGCTGCGGCCTGCAGGCTGTCAGTGCAAGGGGGTGGGGGGTTAGAATGCCTGCATTGATCTGAAGCTCGTTATCTCGTTACCAAATCTCTTGGTGCAGTCAAACAGTGCGTGGCAGAGATGGCTCTGGGCCTGGCCAGGGCCAGATGTCACGAGGAGTTGGTTGGAAGAGCTGCACCGTGGTGGGTGAGACGATGCCTGGGGTGATGTGATGGGCACTGGGAACCTGTGGAGCTTCCAGGGATGGAGAATGGGAAGGGGCAGAGAGGCCAGGCTGGTGGGTGGAGGTTGATGGAAGGGGAGAACCTGGCAGATGAACCGTTTCTCCTGGATTTCTGTTGTGGTGGAATGGCACTGACCTTCATGCTGAGGTTTCCCACCTGCTCTGAACCCAGGGCTTCACATCAGGAGCTCTTCAGGCAGGGTGTGGAGCTGGGCTGATAAATCAGACCACATCCAGGCAGTTTGCTGTGATTTAAGTGCCCAAGGCCAGGTTGGACGGGGTTTGGAGCAACCTGGTGTAGAGGAAGGTGTCCCTGCCTGTGGCACAGGGGTTGGAACGAGATGGACTTAAAGGTCCCTTCCAACCCAAATTATTCATGATTGCAGTGTCTCAGACCTTCAGAGGAGAGTGCACACCCCCTGTTCCATCGAGGACTCTCTCAGCACACTGGTACCTCTCTATTTTGTAGCACAGTGGCAAGAAGCCAGTTCTACAATCCAGGAGCACAGAGGCTTGGGAACATCTGTCTGCAGCAGTGGCATCCCCTGACAGGCATGTGGGCAGGCTGACCTAGGGTGTAACCTATTAAAAACACCCTGCAAAGGGGGAAAGCTGCTTAGAAGGCATTTGCTACCCAGAGGAGTTCAGAATCCATGATATTTTAGTGTGTGAATTAAATAAAGGATTCTCCCAGCAGTTCCAATGAGAGTGTTTGCAGTGCTGGAGATGTTTCTGTGGTGTCAGAGGATGTGGTCTCACTTTTGGAGGGGAAAACAGATGGAAAAAGTATGAATTTGGTTTCTCAACCCTCACTAGTCCTTAAAATGTCCTCAGTGAGTGTGGAGTAGAGCCTTTTTTATTTTAACTTTCCTTCAAGTGAGGAAAAGGTTCCTGCTCTTCTTTTCCAGGTGAGCAGTAGAACGGTTGGATAATTCCTACCAGAGTCTGGTTTGAGTCTGAACCCTTGGGAGGACCAAACCTCAGTCTCCTGGGCTGGATTTTCCTCAGTCCTTGTGCACCTGGGAGTGTTTTGGGAAGGCAGGCTCTGGGAATGGGCCAGGTAGTGCCCCATGAGCTTGGACTATCATGGACCTCCCAAGGAACAGTTCCAAAAATGACCTGGCAGTGTCTCTGCATGTCCTTGGTTGACACACCAGCTCACAGATATATCCACTACTGTCACCATCCACTTGTGTTATTTTTGAGTGGGGGATTTCTTGAGCCCCATCCAAAGCTGGCCTGGAATTGCATCTCAAATATGCAGTCGTTTACGGCTTCCACGGCTGGAGAATGGGCAGCTATAAATACTGCCATGTTTGCTTTTTATTTCTGGCTTTTGTGATTTGGATTGAAATCCTGGGTCTCTCTGAGTGTCACTCAGGCTGCTGAGGGGAGTGGATGCTGGCACATCTCTGCAGGTGAGGGTGGAGGTGTAAAGGAGGGGGTTGTGCATGGAAGGTTTGAGGTGTAAACTGCTTTTTGAGGCACTCAAGTGAGGTGCTGTGTTGGGGTCCCAACCCTCAGGTGCCTACTGTTAATTTTGTAGGACTGGAGTAAGACCCAATGACTTTTTTTCAGGAGGGAGAGGGAAGAACAAGGAGCACTTGTGGTTCCTGCCCCAGCCATCAGACTGGAATCTGTGCTGGGTTTGGTGTCCCCTTGGTAGCAGCATTGCTGTCCCATGATACCTCCAAGGCCTGTCCAACCCTTCATGGAATCATGGAGTGGTTTGGCTTTGAGGGGACCTTAAAGAAAATCTCACTCCAACTCCCCTTCTGTGGGCAGGGACACCTTCCACTATCCCAGGTTGCTCCAAGCCGTGTCCAACCTGGCCTGGGACACTTCCAGGGATGGGACAACTCCTGCTCTACTCTGTTATCAGGCACAGACTGTGCACACAGTGACATCCACAGAGATGGCCAGACTTTGTTCACATCCTTTAATCCTAGCTTTTGGCACCTCCACACATTCCTTGCCCCCTCTGTGTCCTCTTCACCATCAGTGATGCACATAGAGCTTGACCTGCTTTGAGGGTGTCACAGGATGGACCAGGCTCTTCTCAGTGGTGCCGAGCAACAGGACAAGAGGCAACAGGCAGAAAGTGATGCCTCACAGGCTGAGAACAAACTTCATGGTCTGAATTTCCTCCTTCCTCAGTGTATGGAAAAGGATGGTATCAGCTGATGGGATGGGAGCTCTCAATGAGTCAAAACTGCAGGAGCCCAGAACCAAGTGACTGTCCTTAAAAAACACCTTTCACAGACTCACTGAATCCCAGAGTGGTTTGGGTTGGAAGGGACCTTAAAGATCATCTCGAATCTGATGCCCAGGATGTTCCACCTGAACCTGAGGAAGAAACTTCTTTCCTGTGCAGCGACCCAGCACTGGAACACATTGTCCAGGGAGGGTGTGGAGTCTCCCTCACTGGAGACATTCCAGAGCCATCTGGACACCATCCTGTGCTGTGGGATGACCCAGAGAGGGAGACAGTCCCAGACGACCCTCCGTGATCCCGCCCTGCGATCCCGCGGCTCGAGCTCTTCTCACGGCGGGGTTTTCCCTCCGCTTCCTACTGATTTTTTTTTTTTCTCCAACCCTTCCTCCACCTGCAACTAAAGCCTCTCCCTCCTCCCCCTGCCGCAGGTTTCAAGGAGACGGCCTTCCTGTACGCCATCTCGTCGGCGGGGCTGACGCACGCCATGGCCAAGGCGTGCAGCGCGGGCCGCATGGAGCGCTGCACGTGCGACGAGGCGCCCGACCTGGAGAACAGGGAGGCCTGGCAGTGGGGCGGCTGCGGGGACAACCTCAAGTACAGCAACAAGTTCGTCAAGGAGTTCCTGGGCAGGAAGCCCAACAAGGACCTGCGAGCCCGGGTGGACTTCCACAACAACCTGGTGGGCATGAAGGTGAGCCGGAGGCCGCTCGGGGGTCTCGGGGTGAGGGGAGTTCACGTTCGGGGGGGGGGATGCAAAAATGCGTGGGGTGATCTTTCTTCTGGAAGGGCGAGGGCTCACTCGTGGGGCTGTGCCCTTGGTTTTGTCGCTGTGCAAAATGTTGGAGGGACCAGAGGGGAAAGAAATGGGAGTGCCCAGGTCCAGGAAGTGGGAGGTGGGGATAAGGAGTGCTGGTTTTCCACAGGAAAGATGGGTTCTTCAGGCTTACATGGGGTGGGACACAGAAGAAGGGATTTTTCCTGCTGAAAAATGGGTTGGGAGATGTTCTTCTTGAGCAGTTCAGTAGAACGTGGGCAGTAGAGCATCTCCATGGCCAGGTTTCTTTAACACTGGCTGGAGAACCTGGCAGGGGACCAGGGTGGACAGATTAATTTGTGACTGTCCCCAGACCCAAAAGTCCCTTCAGCTTTGTTTCCTGGCAGAAAACCTTCCATATCACCCAGAGCTGATGTGTTTGCAGGTGACAGTGCTTGGGTGTAGAGTCCCTTTTTCCTTTCCCATCCTTATCCTCTCTGCTGGAGGACTTCCTAGCCTTGACACCTTGCTCTTCCTGTGAGTCTTTACTCTCCTGCAGGAATGTTCAGGAAACATTTGGACAATACTCTTGAGCACATGGCGTGATTTTGGGGGTTGTCCTGTGCAGGGCCAGGATTTGGACTCAATGATCCTCGTATGGCCCTTCCAACTCAGGATATCCTCTGACTGATGTAAAGGACAAAGTGTCTGCAATTGTGGGTCATCCCAGCAAGGAAGAGGGGGAGAGGAAGGGGCTTTCCACCTTCTCCCCTAATCTGCTTGGCTGTACCTAGAGTTGCCCAAACACGAAAATCCCTCAGATTGGCCAGCACAGGTGCTCAGGATCAGTGTTTCACTGCACCAACCTCCAAGGGGGGACATACTGTAAGGCCAGAAATAGCCTTCGAGCCTTGTTATTGTCTGTGTGATTGGACGCGGGCTTGGGGCTGGGATGGGGGACCTGGGTCTCCAGTTTCCCAGGCAAGTGCAGCCCCAGCCAGTTGTGCATTCTAGGAATGGCCACCCCAGCTCAGTTGTTCCCCTGTGTATGTAGAAAATGCCATTCCTCGCGACAGAGTTGGGCCATCGGGGAATGCCACCAGCCAGGGCTGGCCAGCAAGAGGTCTGCCCCTCTCCCCACCACCAGATGCTCCTAGACAGTGCCGAGATCAGGATTAGAAACATCCTGGATTTAGCTGCTGTCTGGTTTTGGCTGACAGCTTTGCTGCTCTGGATTAGAGGGCTCAGTGGCTGTGAACTGCAGTGGCAGCTCTCTGACGTGTGAAACAGGCTTTTGCGGGATGATGAAACCCGTTTTAGTCCCTGTGGTTGGTTGCTCCTGAGGGCCTGTCCCGTCTCTGTGGGCAGATGGGATTGACAGTGGAAGGTGGTCCATGGAGGCTGTGATTTCATGGTGGGTGTTGCTGTGAGATGTCCTGGCTCTCCTCCCGTTCCACAGGCACATAACAGAGCCTCAGCAAAACCTGCAAGGCTGTGGCTTTAGGTGCCGTTGGCATGTTCTAGTGATTCCATGGACATCTACCAACAGTGGTGGGGCTAAAAAACTTGCCCAATGGATTTGACACAACTCCCAGTGTTCCCAACCCCAGAAGCTGCAGTCAGGATGCCCCATATGGCTGAGGCCAGTCTTGGAATTAGGTCAGGTGTCCTTACTTATCACCTGTGCTCTCCACTGTGTCACTTGGGGCTAAACAAATCCCAAGGATGAGCTGGAGGGGTTGAATCTTCCCTTTCCTTCCCTTTCTTGATCCCACTGTGAGTTAGTTCCCAGGGGAGAAGATGCAGGACTCTCCAGCATCCTCTGCCTCCCCTTTTTTTTTGGCACAGTTGGGCTCTGGTCATTGGCAGTGGTTTCTGAGTGTAATATCTGCAGCTAAACAGCTGAGTAACAGTTGTGACAGTTGTCCAGACACTCAGAGCCCTCCTGGCAATCCAAGTCAAAGACCTTCGCTGCAGGTCAGTGCTCCACTCACTGTTCCTATTTTTGTCCACCCACACCGTGTGTGTCGAGTTGGGGTTGCTTTCCTTGCCCGTTTGCAGCAGCAGATGAACCGATTCCTCCGCTTGTGCCGCTGCAATAATTGGAACGTGGTCTGGTTGAAAGGCAAGCCAAGCACCAGATCCACACCACCACCACGAAACCAGGCACAGAACGAGTGAACTTCACGCTGAGAAGGAAGTTCTTAGGTGGATGGTGGTTCAGGATCAGGAGGACATAGACCTGTAGAGTCAGGATATGTGGACCTGAACCACTGGCACAATGTGGTGCCATTACGATGATCAGAAATGAGGACTCCAAACTGGCTTTGGAACTGCAAGGTCAAAACTTGCAGTGCTTCCTTCAGGTTCCAAAGTTGAAACCAGCTGGAAACCTGAGGCCATTGACCCTCTCGGGGTGGCTGGTGGATTGTCTTTGACATTGCTTACCTTGAGGTGTAGATTAATATCAGGTTCCACCTGTGCCCTTCCTCCTGGTCCCACTGCGAGTGCAGCGCTGGAGGAAGAGGTTGCTCAGCAGGTACCACCGAGTTTTCCTTGCTGAACTTACTCATAATTTTCCTTGAGGAAGGTAGTGGGTTAAATATGATCCTCAGCATGTTTTCTGCACTTGTCTGTCCTCAAAAGGAGCTGCCCATCGGTAGCTCCTGCCGTTCCAACCCCTGAGCAGCATTTGCCAACCCAGTGACTACAGCAGCCTGAAAGCACTTTGAACTTAGCCTGATCTGGCTGTTTTAACAGTAACTCTCATGGATTTGAGCACAGGCAGTGCAGGAGTGCAGATAGCCCAAAGTTGGGCCATTTTGGAGCTGAGCAGTTTGGAACTGGAGCACTTGGATGGGCATGTGTGTGTTCACCGAGGGAGTGGAGGGATATCCATTAAAGATGCAGCACAAGCTTGGTGGTCTCTCCCATGTCATTTTTCCCATCTAATCACTCCCAACCATGGCAAAACATACGAACAGTCCCTTGAGACCCAGCAAAAAAACAACAAAAAACCTGTGCTTAACTGAGTAATTTGGCAACCAACCTCCTGGTCAACACAGCAGTTTCTCCATGGTGTCACCCCAGCAAACAATCCGTGTGTTTCTGAAGGGTGACATTATCCCATCCCGCCTAGTTTTAGTGTCTCTTGGTGGAAGTTCTCATTTAATTATGATTTTACTTCTGCTTTTTTTTTAACAACCTTGATGGGCTGCCTGTAATTTCGCTGCCACCAGTGAACTAATCACCGAACATGTTGTGCCCGTGGTGGCTCACCAAGTTATATGATATGAGCTCAGTGGTTAATGAAAGGGCGAGCTTGTCTGGTGTGAGGATGAGGTAATTAGACCAGGACTTCTCCAGCCTCCTCTTTATTGAAAAGTAGGAGCTCTGAATAGACCACTTATTAAAAAAGCAATTTCCCTTCCTTTGCCCAAATCTGCTCTTTTCTCATCCAGCCATTCTTTCCGAGGGGTCCTGGGTGGAGAGGGTGTGTGCTGGGGGGGGGGAGATGGTTGTGTGTGTCGAGGGGGTGGTGCTGGTGAGAGAAGCCAACTGTATTAAAGCCCCATTGCCAGCAGTGAAGTCTCTTAGTTATATTAAAAGAAGCCCAGGCAGCCTTGCTAAACCTCTCATCTTCTCTCTATATCCTCCCCCCACTCCCTCCCCCTTGTACACACAAGTGCAGCCCTCTTTTGTAACCCATTAATGAAAAGTCGGAATATTAGAGCACTCAATTAGTTCCACTGGGCTTGAGTAAGTGATGTTTTAATTAAATTTGCCCAGTTTCTCAGCAAAGTATCATTAAACATGACTTTCCAACTCCCTCTCTGGAGCGTTGCTAAGTTTCTTAATCCCAGGAGTGCTGACCTCTTCCAGAGGTATGTCTGGTCAAGCATGTCTTACAGATCCAAGGGGCACTATTAAAGGGGGCTGCTGTTACCCAAGTTAAAAAAAAAAAATAAAAAAATTATCCTGTTCTCATTCCCTTTTTCCTTTATCCCTCCAGAAGGAGGGACACAACCCTTTGCCTTCAGGACCCTTGAGAGCCACAAGTGTGTAGTGCAGAACTGTGGGAGGGCAGAAATGGAGAGCAAAAAAAAAGGCATTTTCCCCTAAAAGGTCTCCCTTTAAGCAATGAAATGGAAAGCAAAAAAGTCTTCCCCCCCCCCCCAAAAAAAAAAGGTCTCTCTTTAGGAAATATCCTGCTTTGAAACTGGTTCCCTTCATGGGGCTTAATTGCTTCCCTGCCATGATCATCGTCAACCTTGCTGTAGGATTTAGGTCCAGACCCATCCTGAGACAGGTTACACCTGGAACACGTTGTACCTTGAGTCATATGGGATGCTCTGGGGGAGGATAGCGGGAGGTGCATTGACTTTTCCTTGCTTATTTTGGAATTCCATGCAAGGAATGGCTTTTTTTTTCCCCGCCTCAGGCAGTGCTGGCAGGGATCTCTCTGGAGGGGCCAAGCGTGCTGGAGACGGGCTCTCCATATCAGGGAGATGTTTGCCCGAGCTATCATCTGTCTGAGGAGCTTCATGAGCTATCACATAACAGGTTATCAGAGCCCAGCACCCTCCTCATTTCTGGAGCTCCGTTTTACAGGGTGGGGAAACTGAGACCCCGAAAGATTAAGTGACTCCCTAAAGGTCACACACACAGGCGTAGCAAGGCACAGGCTTGCACCCTGGGCTCCTGTTGCAGAGGCTGTGTTTACAAGCACTGACCATCCAGTCCCATCCAGTTCCTCCCAGTAAACACGATTCCAGTTGAATTCCAGAGTTTTGTCCAACAGGCAAATTTAAATGTTAATACCTGTATTGTTATTTTTTTTTCTGCACCCTCCAGATGAGTAATAATGGAAAAAAAAAAAGGGGGGGGGGATATAATGCATCCTTTAGGCAGCTTCTTCAGGGTTGTGCTTGCAGTGA